GTGAAGAAATACAGAAGACTGTTTCTGTGTAAATTTGCCAAATACTACAAGTGGACTTAAAGTGGAATTAAAAGGGATTCAGATGTGGCCGAGTTGGTAGGGATTTAAATCCCAGTAATAGCGTGTGTGTGTGTGTGTTTGTGTGCGTCTGTGTGGGCCAGTTGAGAACTTTCTCATTCCGACTCTCAGTCAAAGGGAATGTATCAGAACTGTGCCACAAACAATAGATCAAAATCGAAAGTAGGTCACAGCACGTTCTCTGGTGATTTTTATCATGACATAAAAACCAGATTGATTTTAAAAAAAGAGCCCTGTTTACTCGTAATTTCTAGAATATGTACAGCAAAAAGTAGTTGAAGCACACACTCACACACTTTGCAAATATAAATACCTTGTAAATACACGCAGGCTTCCCAGTCAGAATTGTTCCAACCAGTAGCCCAGCTTTTATACTGTTGCAAAGTTGATGTCTTATGTATCATGAAATGCAAGTACATGTCTTGGCCTTAATGCACTTCTAAAATATAATAACCATTTTTAATTGTAGATTGGAGGTGGGGCGGCACTTTACGAAGATGGAAGGCAAAGCACAATGTAAAACGTGTACAGCATCGTGACTCATACATATAAATCTTTTATATTTTGATCCTTTTGGTGCCTTTGCACATTTTGGCTACTTAATATGTGCTTATTTTGCTTACATAACCACAGCAAATGTGCCAAGTGTGAAGAAACAAATGTATTTGAAGCGAAGCAAATGTACTTTAATAGAGGCAAATGGCAAAGCTATACATTAGCGATTGGGAGTGTTGTCAGGTGTTCTGCAGAGTGAGTGTGATTGAATTTAATTCCATTGTGATGGTTGTGCGAGTGTTTCAAAATGGTTTTAAACCATCAGTCATGCTAGGTTTGATAGGGGAGATACTGTAGCTGATAGTTCCTATGCTTCTATCAACATGTGTTGATTAAGTGCTCCTGAGTGAAACACTAAACCCCACCTGTTCCAGTTCAGCTGCTTAGTAAGCAAAAATAAACAGACTGTGTTCCAGGGCATACTCATCCCTCCACCTGTGCTGATTCATAGTTTATTTAAAAAAAAAAAAAGTTGTGAGTGAATCTAGTAGTCTGTTTTTTCGTTTGATTTTTGCAGTTTACAGTGTTTAATTTATCTCTTTTAACTCCTGCTGGGAGGAATTTTGTGTCAGACATAGTTTGAAATGAACACACAGTCCTGTATATGTGAGGAACAACAGACCGCTGACTGTCCGAGGTATAGGTGTGTTGTGAAGACAGAGAGAGAGAATTTAATGTAACTTTTCAGATACCAACACCTACATAATTGTGTCTGATTATCAGGCCAACCGAACTTGTGAGTTACTACAAAACAAACACACCCACACACACACACAGTCATAATACAACTGTTACTGTTTTAAATGTGATTGTTGGTGTATCAAGGAACAGAAAGTCCTGTTGGTGCCCTTGAAAGACATGCCTGTCTTAAAAAATACCTTATTACAAGCAGTGTCTATTCCCCTGCTCTTAATTTACACTACTTATAGAGCACAATACGTTTATTGGTTTATCAGTTGTTTTTCATGAGTGCTTGATTTATTTTACATTGCATGAGTTTTGCTTTCATTTTAAGGATAAGTATTGTTACTGGCAATAATGAAGCACAGCTGTGGGAACATATCAGTTTAAACCAGTTCAAATCATTTTGAACTTTTTGACTGAGTTGTTTTTCATAAACTGTTATTGCGTATAGAGAGGGAACGAGAGAGAAGGAGGCAAATGGTTTTTAAATCTACCTGTATTATTTGTACAACATTGAGCTGCCATGTGTTTTTGTTATTTTTATTTCCAGATTGTTAAAAGAGAAATAACAAATAAAGACTGGGCTGAAGTGGAGTTGGGATATTTGATTTTCTTTCAGAATATGGCAGTAATAGTTGCATTTTCCCTGAATTGTCACTGATTTGATGCTATACTATTATTACATTTACTACTACAACTAATGGTTATACATAGTAATATTAAAAGGGAAAATTAACTGCAGTGTTGCTTGCCCTTTTATTCATTTTGAATGATTCCGACTTACTTTCTGAATCTATAAAACACAACAGATGTAGATCAGCAATTTTAAAAAGAATTGAATTATTATCCAAATAATTTTTAAAACCGACAAAGGTCAACACAACTTGTTTACTCTGCATTTTATTTCACTTGTCCAAACCAAAGTGTCGATATTTACTTGCTCAAGACCTTCCCATGACCGTCAAAAGCAGTATGTTGATCATTAACAAGCTGTCTCTTCATCTCATCTCTCTTCTCATCTCTGCATCTTCAGCCCTTTCCTCATGCCTCCTCTAGCTGGTTTGCAAACAGTACAGTACAGTGTTCTCTGATCAGTGTGCAGAAATCCTTTCACACAGTTAGTTTCCTGTTTTTTGTGTAAGACAGTTTGGCCTATTTTGTTGTTAATTAATAGGCTGTTCATGAAGGCTGCTTAGTGAAGAGCTACCCTGCACCAATCATCACAAATTTAAAATAGCCACAGAATATAATTGTATCTGTCTTTTCAGCCGATCTCTTCCTCTTAAATTTAAATTTAGCTAACAATGTGCTGTTATCACCTTTTAATGACTTCCGTCCATTGTCACGTCATATGCTGTAAATAGATCTCATTGTGAAATCAAAGAAATAAAAAATATTTTTTGAATTCATAATGTGAAAAACACACATTATTGTACTACATTACTGGGACTTGATTGAGTTGATTTTTTTGTCTTACACTTCCTGCTTCCTGTTTCAGACTCAGACTTCGAGGCCTTCACAAGCTAACCTGGCTCATGCTGCTCTGTGTCCTAGCCCTGCCCTGAGGTAAAGAACCAATGTGAACCTCAAGCACCCTGAAAGTTCATGAAAAGTCATTCCTTCTCCTGCCCTATAAGCCCCATTTAGATCAGATTGGATGCCTATGGTTTATGCATTACTTATAAAGTGTAACATGTCCTTGTACATCTATTCCTACAGGTGAAAGGTCAATTCCCCTTGATGCACTTGTCTGTCTCTGCCCTCCAAGGCTCCTACCTGCTGAATGACACTTAAAAAAAGATACAAATGTGTATTTTATATGTATGTGTGTGAGTGTGTGTATATACTGTAGCTCACTGTGGAGCAAAAGACTGGAAACTTTGTATTTTGAAACTCAAGGAAATAGTTCTAATCATCTCTGCATAAACTAACAATGTTTCAGCTGAATTTGAATTAGAATTGTGCCTGCAAGTGGAAACTGATGAATAAGGCAAATTAAAAAAAATGCTTTGAAACATATAAAGCAGAGAAAATAAAGCATTTGCTGCTGACTACTCTATCTGCCGGTGGTAGTTTATCTTTGCAATAGGAAATGTCAGGGTTAATATCAAACTATTGAAGATAAAATGCCAAAAAAACCCCACACATTTAAGGTTAAAAATCTGTGCTGCAGTGGACATCTAAACAACTTTGAAAGTGCTATTGACTATTAATGCACTTGAGGCACACCCACTTAAGGACACAATGGTTTTGATTGGAAATGAGCACGTGAGGCTTTTTGTTTTGAGTTTTGCTGCATCACGTCACAAATTTATTCAGGTCAAGTCAAAAATACATTTTTATAGATATTTTCTATCTGTCTGCTACATGAAATAAAGACAATCATCAGGGTGAATTATTTACATTAATCACAAGGCCGTACACAGAGTAAGACAATAGAAGAACCCAAACAATGTCACTTTGTGTGCAGAGGGAGAGAGAGAGAGAGAGAAGGTGATGTGTACTTTGTGGTCAATGTACAGCATCCATAACAAAAGGGCCAGTGCTGAAAGCAAACAATCATGTCGTCAAATACAGGCCTCACAAATAAAAACTTGCTAGAAATCAACACACACTAGACAGTAGCATACAGTATTCAGGACGTAACACCACACTCATAGTGTTAAAATGGATTGAAACTTTTTTTTTAAGGGATTTGACATTTTAATATTAGGAAACTGTAACATTCAACATAACAGACAAACAAACCCTGTTTTTTGGTAAAATGTTGATCGGTGATTTGAGGTAAGCATGTCATCATATCCAGTAAAAGGGTTGACGAGGCCAAGATGGAATCAATTTAATTTTATTTTATTTGT